CCGGCTTTGAGCCGGTCATCTCCCGTTCCCGGTTTTTCTTTGGTGGTTTGTTACAGCTGTGTGGAAGACAAAAGGCAGGGTCTTCTGTGGGTCTGGAGGAAAAGCGCGTGTTGTTCGGCCTGTCAGCCGTGTTGCGAGGGAAGTGTGTCTTTGTGTGGTTACAGCGGCTCTTGGCTGTGCTCGGGACGAGCTCACCTTCCGTGGTTCAGAGAAGCGATGCTTCGAGTGGAGTCACCAAATGCATTGTCTTCCTCGTACTTGTGAAATGAGGTCTGACTTTACGAATGGTTATGCAAATTTCTTGACCAATTTGTTTAAAGCTACTGAATTTATTATATGTGTTTCTAATTGGAGACTGAAAAAATATCTATGATTAGGTGGGGCCCAGGCTTTAATCCAGAGTCGTCCTGTCTGTATCCTTTAAAGAATAAAACATTCCTCCAGGGCTGGCCTTGGAGTCTGATTGTTTAACGTTAAGTAGTTTTATCTGTTGTCGAAAGCATTCAAACATGCTCTGTGCCCTTCCATCCTTTTCTGCTGCCGACTTCCACTTTCCCTTGCTTGAAGAAAAGGAGAGTTCTCTCTCTGTGTTTCATTTTCTTTTCTTTAAATTCTGTCACAAAAAGGGAGTTTCCTTGCCTCCTCCTGAACTCTGCCACAGGCGTTTTTTTCAGGAATCATTCACTTTGCTGCTTAAGCAAAGGTTGTTGATACCAGCGTCAGCTGCAACCCAGTTCATAGAAGTAGTAGTGAAAGAGCACTGTACTCTGCTGGTTGGTAGAGATACTAACAGTAGCATTTGCAGTAGAGCTGTCTTCAGGGCTGCAATGGTATCAAGTTAGTTAAAAAACATTGTAGGGGTTGATTCTGCTTGAAACAACAAAAAGTCTGATTCTTTTGGAGGATATCAGCTTGTTCACTAGAAGAGTTTCAACTACTTGACCGGGTTATGGACAGCAAAAGAAAATACATAGTGTCTGTGAGCTTCAACGTTAAATAAAATAGAAGTGAACCTGTAATTTTAGCAAATCAAGTCCATTGCGTCGTAAAGAGCAGAACTTGTGCTTGTCCCTGGAAGCCTACTTTGGGTATGACGCTGCTTCATCAGTGGGTAGCTTCTTCAAGTGACCCTTGAAATGTTCAGGCTCTGTTCTTAACGCAGGACTAGGCATGATCTAATAAGGTTGAGAACAACAAAGAATTTGCGTGTGAAACTATTTTTTTCCCTGGTACTAGTGGTCCTTAGAAAAGACTTCACCTATTTCTACCCTAGGGTTAGTCTGATTTTTTTTTTTTTTTTAAAACAAATTAAAGCTAAAATCTGTGTGTATATACACATATATGCAGGGGCATATCATAAGCAGGTGGTCCAAAACCAATAATTTCACTGCATTCTGTCTTTGTGTTACCAGGTTTTAGAGTTGTTAGAGAGAAAATATTTTCAAATTAGATATGTAATATTTGGCCGAATATTACCAAGGAAAACTTTGGAGATGTATTCATTTTGGTAACACTTCAGTGATGGAAGGAGATGTTCTTGGATTTTCTTCTGTTCTTATCTTCAGGGAGGTGTGTGTGCTCTTAGCTTCTTCCATGTGCTGGTCATGTGGCAGATGGTCGTTCTGTCTTTTTTGGAAGCAATGATTATGTGTCTATAGGCCTAATATTTCAGTATTTTCATCCATCTTCATACATGCTAGATACTAGCTATTTTGACCGTTTCTTAATGTAGTTCTGTAGCAATGATACTGACAAATTAAGTAGTTGAAATATGTTTGTTGGGGTCATCCCGATATCTTGTTCCTTTTCAATACTTAAACCAGCTCATTTAGAAATAAAATGAGGGTAATGACCATCACCTCACATCTGGCCCAGTCTAAACACAGGCTGCTGCTGAGAGGAATCTTTTTGTACCCTTCCTAGAGGAAGGCTGCACTCTGAAGGTGATTGCTTGGCCACGTGCAGGGCTGGAACGCTTCCCCCTACCTCTGGGTTATGCTTCAGGTAGACAAAGCCTATGGCAAGTCATGTAGCTTCTTTACATGGGCTCGTAGGAGAAGGACAGTGTTTATGGCACCATTTAATACTAAAGAAAACCCCAAGCAACTCTTAATGTTTGGCATTTTACTGTGGAAGTTATTTTTCTTTGAAAGGAGCATAAAAAGTTAAAAGATTTAGATGAGTGACCTGATTGTTTTAAAAACAAATGTTGCACTAATTATGCATAACTGGTTAAACAGAGATCTGCTTCTTGATGTCTTTAAGAGTGGGAGGAAACTGTAGAAAGGACATTTGTGATTTCATGTTTGTAAGAAGTTACCTCCCTCCAAAAAAAACTCCCAAGATACTGTGTTTTGGGACCTAGTTGTTTAAATCTGGTGTGATCTAACCTCAGTAAGAGACCAACTTCAGTGCTTTGGGTAGACATGCAGATTTCGGACTCAAGAATCAGAAAGACTCTAGAGTTTTGGTGTAATGGTAGCTCTGCCAAAGTAGTAATCACTTGTCCCACGTTTTAGCATCATGCTGATATAAAGAAATTCACATTCCTTCTGTACATGTGTTCTGTGAAGCCGTCATGTGTTTCAAGAGGATAGTAAATTTCTTAAGTTGTTTCACAGCATGCAGAATTTTGATGCACTAGACCTGTGGCACATATGTGGTTCCTCATTGCTTTATTATGTTGCAAAATTGTACAAATCTGTCTTGGTTCTATCACGTTTTTTTCTTTTGGATTTTTGTGTGTTGTATTCAAGGCATAACTGCAAGTTCTTTCCATTAATTTATTTTCTTTTAAGGACTGTTTAAAATTTCATTATAAACAGATCTTGCTTTTGACTTCAGTTATTGATACCCTGATCACTCTGAATGTTCGACAGATACCTATGGTTTTGCTATGATGGTTTGTCTTAGTGATGTTAGACTTGTAGAGTTCTTAAAATTTCATACTTTGGTTAAAAAAAAAAAAAGACTTTAGATAGTTTACTGTATATACTGTTTACATTTTGAAATTGAACGAGTTCTTAAGTATTTATAGACTGCTTAGATAACTAGTTCTGGACCATGACATGTCGGTTTGCCTCCTATCTGCTGAAGTTGGATGAAACAAGTTTCTGAAGATTTTTTTGGTAATTCCCTTAGAAACTGTGGGCTAATTGGAGGGAAAAAAAAAAATTTATCCAGTATCTGTGTGGGCACTGAACTGGCATATTGTCTCTGAAGTCATTTGGGTATCTCTAAATCAGTTTGTCTTTTAACTTCCTTTTTGCTTAAGAAATGGGTATTATGTATTAATTTGCCAAATGCTGCCCATTCAGGGAGTGGTAGTCCTGTGTGACCAGCCAGCTGCACAGCCCTGTTGAAGGCAATGTATTAATTGTCTCCTTGAGTACAGGCTGGAAACTGGAAACCTATAGAATGCCTTTGGGTTATTGTTTAGGTGTATGATAGAATGGCATACTGCCATAATTATGAGTGGGAAAATGTCGCTTACAAAATTAATGGTAGAATATAGTCTGAGTTGGTGTCACCCAGAGCTTGCTTTTCAAAAGTTGTTGATAGCTGTTATGCTGTTTATTTTAGTGTTATTTCTACAATAGGTTGTGACACAAGGTTGAAAAAAAGTAAGATAAAGTTTAAAACAGCTATTGTTCTGTAAAGAAAGCTTATTTTGTGTAAATATTGGAAACAAACCCGATGTTTTATTAAACTGAGACTTGTTTCTAATACAATTGGTACTTCTGTAATATTTCCAGCACATTCTGTGTAGGAGCTTCCACTTGGGAATGTATGGATGCATATTGTAGTAAATGGTGAATCAGGAAACAGGGTGTGCCTTTTGTCACATGTTCTACCTGGGTTTTTATAATCCTTGCTGTTACTTTTGTGTTCTTAAAAAAATGTTATTGCAGGATATAGCTGCATTTCAGATTTATTTGGGCAGATAAAAGTGCAAGGTTTTAGTTTCTGAATACATTTTCATGTGGAAAGTAAAAGGGTTTCTGTTAATTGAAAAACAAACAATATTCTTATTAAACAATATTTAAATAAAAATAAATATTGTTTAATTTAAAAATGTTGTTTAATAAAACAAAGTGCTCTTGCATGATTTTATATAACTTTGTATGAACTGTGCATTTTTAGCTGCTTGGTGCCTGAAATATGAATTTCGATATTAAAAGACCTTAGCTAAAATGGGTCTAAGGTCTTAGATATTGCTATTTCTGCCTTAATGAAGGGTCTGTGATCATTTTACAGACATTGCTTTTGCTCTGTTAGCGGTTGCTAATTTGCCTTCTACTGAGGACTTGCAACAAAATTGGAAAGGTAGAATCCCTGAGAGATTAAAAGCTAAAAATTCCGATAGGAAGGACTTGTTAGTTGTATAAGTTCTGCTTGATTCTGATATGTAGAAGATGGTAGAAAGATGTCTTTTGAAGAATAATGCCTATCGCTAGCAAAATGCATGTGAAAACCCTGAATCCTCTGCAAGTACAGACTTCTTTGGTTGCACTTGACTGGTTATTCTGGCCTGAAAACAGGCACCTTTCAATAGCCTAGGAGAAGAAACAGAGCAAATAGCTGTCAGGTCTTACGAACACAGGTTTTTGTCACCAAGTGACAGACAATTGATCAACCTTTTAAACTATTTTAAAAATTATTTAAATAAACAAATTGATAACTATTTTCAAAACCTTTGTAAAAAGTAATGTGTTTTCTTTCTTTTCCCTAGCACTAGAAAGTTTGGGGTTTGGCTCCTATATCAGTGAAGTAAAAGAAGTCTTACAAGAATGCAAAACAGTAGCACTAAAGAGGAGAAAGGCCAGTTCACGCTTGGAGAACCTTGGCATTCCAGAAGAAGAGCTTCTAAGGCAGCAACAGGAATTATTTGCAAAAGTAAGTGAAGCAATACTTGTACTGATAAGGTTGGAATAATTAATGCTGCAGATCTAGTGCCACAAAAATACATATAAGCTTCTAGAAATACCCTGTTCCTTGGGAGTTGCTGTGGCATCTAAGATGCTATTGAGCTTCACCTGTTTGAACTGGGGAAATAAATACAATGGTGGTACTTGTTACTTCTGTGATTTGACATACAGGACATTGTATACAAACAAATGTATTATACTTTCTGTTTAAAAAGCATGGGGGTTTGCTGCTACTTAGGTATTTCCATTCTTCTGTAGAAAACACATGAAGAATTACTTGGCAGAGGAAATCAAAGAATGACAGCTGGTGTTCTAGGAAATCACCAGTTTTGAGGTGTTAAAAAGTGAAAATATCCTTTCTGGCCATCACTGCACAAATGTTATTTCTTAGCTCTGAAAGAAACATTTAATTGTTCAAAATTTCTAATTTGTCCTTTCTCATCTTCCTTTACTTGGCAAGACTCTAGGTGAATTCATGCATAAATTTTTAAAGAGGCAGTTCAGTCACAGGAAAAGCATTTGCCTGCAAATGCTGCACATATGCACACACACACACATATACATTCTCCTTCATCCCAGCCTTCTCCCCTCCCAACTTTCCCATATAGTTTGTGAAAATCTCTTAAAATTGACTTTTAGTCATTTAAACTTATTTATCTTTCTATACCATCTTTCTCTGTACTATTCTCTTAGTTTGACTAGAAGTCCATTCTCTGCACTAAGTGATGTGAAAATTATCTTGGATTTGTTTCCTCTTACCCAAGGCATGAGTCTTATTTTCTCATTCTGCTTATTTTAATTTCCTCTGGTGAAAATACTTATCCATTTGTGTGTTATCATGTCTGGTTACTGCAACGTTCTCTGCCCTTCACTTTACTCATATCTTGCCAAGACAATTAATAACTGTTGGGGTGTTTTTCATATTGCAGCATCCCAACAATTTGAATCTTAACTGCATGATGAATTTTAAGGCATTTAAAATTTCAGCGTACCATGTAGCTATTGTCAGCATGCAGTGAACTAGTTATAATAAACCCATGCATGCCTGACTTTTGTTTGACCGTATTAACGTAAGAAAGACCAATATAGCTGTTTCTGAATTAAGACTTACAAATAATAGTTGGATACTTGTTTTTTCCTTATTATTTTATTAAAGCAACTTAGCATGGTATATAAAATAACACAGCAAAAATAAGGTGTGTTAAGGGAGTACTAGCTCCTGAGTAACACTTAAAAAAAAAAAAAAAAAAAAAAGAAAAAAAAAAAAAAGAAAAACTGAAACCACGGCCACCTTCTGTGAGCCACGCTGTATCTAAGGAATAACCCTTTAAGGTGTGTTCTTTTTAAATTCTGTAATACTGTGTATTAACATCTAAATTAAGGCAATGCATGCAAGTTTCACAATATTATTAATGATTTTTAAAAATATGCTCAGGTAATACGAAAGTCTTTGCTTAGGTGCAAAGGTTCTAGTCTCATTTGTCAAAAATACTAGTTGTAATATGCTGTTGCAGGTACTCTATTCTTAAAAATAGTTACACAAGTGGATGTTTCTTTATTTGTGATAATCTTATTAATACTGTAGAGTGTGACACTAATATTGACTTCTTGCTCTGGTTTTAATGTACTTGCTTGTTAGTGTTATAAAGGTTTAAAGCCTGTAGCTTGGATGACTGTAGACATTTGTAGTCAGGTTTATGGCTTATCCTGATGTCCATGCATGGCTGTAAGTTTCTGTGCAAGACAAGGTCCTTAACAGATCTGTTTTTTGTTGGTTTTTTTTTTTTTTTTGAGGCTTCCTTACTAACGCTCATATGTACAATAAATGAGTTACATTTACTAAATGCTTATAAAGCTTCTTAGTCAATACAACTCAATGGAGTTTTTCTTCTTTCCTTTTTTGAAAAGGCTAAGTTATAAGTATAGCAGTGAGGGTAGGTAGGCACTGACAAAATGATCCATCCAGAGTGAAGTGCTGAGCCTGTGATTCCTGGTGCATGCATGTGTATCACCTCATTAATTGTACAGTAAACTTAATTGTAGCAGGGTCAGTAGGGAACCCCATTGTTCTCTTGTGTGTGATAAACGTTTACGCCTCTCCTGTGTGTACAGATGCTGCTGTTATCCTTTGTTTAAAACCTTACAATGTCTTAAATGGTTTTCCAACCCTCGTAACTTCACTACCACTTGAAGTTTGAAATACTGAAAAATCTTAATTGAAATTCCTACCTCTGTAAAACTATTATCTGTTAATGCTAAAACAGACAGAGGAAATGTGGCACTTCTTACAATAAGGCAAGACTCTCCTAGTAAGTTGATAAACTGATTTTGACCATTTTTCAAAACGTTGTATTTTGGCACCCTGAAGTTTGAAAAACTGTAAAATTGATTGATGCTTTGGAAAAAAAAAAGGGAAAATTCAGTGAGTGCAGTGGGATTAGAAGGGAAATCACTACACTCTTAGTGATGACTTGTAAAAATAGAAAAGTAAAGAATGCTGAAGATTTATAATTTTAAGAACTTTTCCCCTAATGTTCACTTGAAATAGAAATTAAATTTTTAAATTTAACACAATTTAAAATCAATAGCAGTTGCTGAAAACAAGTGAATGAAAAGCCTGGATAGAAAAATGGGACGTCACCGGCTTTATACCTGAGTTTGAGAAGACATATATTGATCTGTTTCCCAAAGACTTCTTTATATTGTAATGTGTTCCTTTGTGGTACAATTGGATCATGTAATAATGGCAAGTTTTTGTATTTGTAATGAGTAGCGTAGGGTTGTTCTCATCTCTGAACTGTGGTAAAATGTGGAGATCCCTTGAAATTGAAGCATGGCATTTCCATTCCTTTGCCTCACTTAATTTTTCCCCTAGGAAGTGTTTTGGCACAAGCCTTACAATGGAACTTAAGTACACTAGCTCCTGCCTGTTTGTTTTTGTAACTGCAAATCCTCCAAATGGTGGTGTCTTCAGAGGAAGAGAGACTATATAGCTAACAGTCTCAGTACAAATAAGGTACTTGTAGATGGGTTTTTATATGTACAGTTAACAACAATTCTGCAAAAGGAACCTGCAGTTGCAGATAAAACTGTTTTTAAAGATGAGGTGCTCAAGAGATTTTTCCCAAACTATGTATGACCTTAACAACCCAATTCCTGTCTTTAGGCTAGACAACAGCAAGCAGAATAATGGCTACAGATGCAACAAGCAGCTCAACAGGCACAGCTTGCTGCTGCCTCAGCCAGTGCATCCAATCAGGCAGGATCATCTCAGGATGAAGATGATGAAGATGATATCTGAAGTTCACCAGCTGAGTTTGTCTTTACTAAGAAGTATTTTTCCTGCACAATGAAAACAGTGAAATGAATGCTTACCTGTAGGTTTGTATGCATAATGGACTGGCAGTTGGTATTCTAGGGGTGTCTGCTGTTGTGTGCTGTACATGTATAAACTGTCTTTTTTTTGAATTCTTGAAGATTTAAGGTTCAGTATCATATCAACTTTGGATTTTTAATGGTGTATATGGAAATTTTAGATAGCAGTGTGTCATTTATTTGATCAATAAACAGTGTTACAATAAACAACAAGTTTATAAAATATAGTGAGATTTATACAAAACCCTCTAAATCCACATTTGCATTTCTTCCCTTTTAACTAAACTATAAAATCTTACCTGAAATTTTTAATTGTTTTGGGGGGGAGTGGTACAAGTAGACATTATCTGTTAATGGGGGGGGGGGGAAAAGGGTTCAGCATATCAGAGTCTGAATTCTTAGTTCTTTTTAAAATGAGGATGTATATGGCAATAAATACTATATATGCTCAAACACCACACCTGTTAAAATTTGAAAATGAGACATTTTCACCAAGCTAAGAAAAGGTATGTTTAACAGGAGTTGTACAAATTCAGTCATTCTTTTGTATAGGGGTGAACAAAATAAACCCATGGTTTTATTATGACATCCTTTGACAGTCCTAACTGAATATTTCACTTCAGAGACTGCCTGGTCTGAAGAACTAACTCTCCTGTTTCACTCCGGTGTAATGTCAGCTGTTGTTGATGGTATTTTGTAGTCCAGATCTATTCATATTTTCAAAATATAAAGCTGGAACTCGATGAAACAAAATTGTTTTAGTTCCACTGACATTACTGGGAATGATTAGCTAGTATTCAAGCCTAAGAAGGCAAAAGCTGAAGCTAAGAGCATGCTTACCATAAAAGAGGGAATTTATATACTCGTTGTCAGCGTAATGCTAATGTTCTCCAGACTAGATTGCCACTGGATTACTAAAATATGTTGTTTGAAAGATAGCATTTTCTTCATTCATTGGTTCATTGGTAAGTCCAAGGTTCTTGGTAAACTATTCCCCAAGAGTAATCAGCAATATGTGGAAGAGAAACGATGTAGTAGTCCTTCTAGTAGTTGATTTGAAAATTCTGTTGATTAATGGATGAGCAGCTGTTCTTTGTGTTGAAATAAAGCACAGTAGTGTCCATTGCTGAGTTTTAATGTGTTACTTGAAGTAATACTGGCATATCTTCTGGTACACTAATCTGAGCAGACTAGAAAAGCCACTTGCATGCTGCTGTAGATGATTCCATAGCTCTCTTACAAAGTGGGTTGTTGTATTAACAGGTCCTCAGCAAGTTGCTCTAGTTGGAGTTCTTGAGGAGGGCTGCAGCAGTCTGTTTACATAAGGATGCAAATAGAAAATGGTGTGCCTGTTTTTACATAAAATCTGAACAACGTGTACTACAATTGGCATATATTCAGATCTCAGTCACATAGTGACTTCTGGTTTAAATTTGAGATGCACTGAGTTGAATATATAGTTGAATAAATGTGAATGCCTCCTTAAATGCATTAATGCAGTGAAAACTCAGAAGTATTTGCTGGAATGTTTAAGTTTAAAAGAGGAAAATAAAACATCTTTCATGGATACTATGAAATATGTTAGGCAAGGTTTGATCAAGGAAGTGGTTTTCTGTAAAGGTTTAAGTACCAAAGGTAGAAAATCTAGTCTAGTGATGTTAATGTGCAGTGTTGGCTTTTCTAATTTGTACTGTAACACCTTCACACTTTCTATTTTAAATGAGTCTTCTCCTTTTAAATAATATTAGGTATATTTTCACACCTTTCTTTTCTGATGCAGAATTCAGGTTAACATTTTACTGCATCTGGTATGTATGGTGTAATATGTTTGGATCCTTGTGACCTTTCTTTTGGACATTCTTGTGCTTTTTCATATGCTGTATTCTTCAAGCAATAAAATTCTGATGTGTTTTTATAAAATTGCTTTTATATTTAATGAATAGTCTGTCTTCATTACATTTATAAGGAAAAAAAGTTAAGACTACTTAAATTCTGCTGTTATTTTGACCCACTGAACGCTTCTTGTGACCAAAGTCTTTACAACATGAGTGCTGTTGGATGGCATTGCTGTTCACTGGGGTGGTTAATGCTTGCAAACAGTGTTTCTGGGCTTGAGCTGTGCTCTTGGGAATTGCATTATGTGTATATGCATTTTTATAACCTGACATTCGTGACCTGAAAAATTGGCCAAACCCCCGTATAGATCAGGTGTATCCTTCTGAAACGCTGCCAGTTTAACAAAGTAAATTACCACAGGCAGAGGCTAGGGAAGTCATCATCTATGTTATTTTGCTGAATTAATTTCAGGTAGATAATCTGGTTTAGAGACTACTGGTGCAGCCATTCCACCTCAAGTATGATAAACTCTAGCAGTTGCAGGGAGAGACTCTTCACTGATCTTTCAACAAACTAAGAATTTTGTATGAACTTCCTATTGTGCTTCCATGTACTAGCTGTTCAGTGAAGATGAGATTTCTGAATTTGTGGTACCACTGATTTTTTTTTTTTTTTTTTTTTTTTTTTTTTTTTTTGGTACACCAGATACACTGAATGTAAAGTTTGGTTAGTGAACTGTACTGTTACATTGTCTCAGAAGAAACATGTATAAGGATCTGTCTGTTTCTTAAATATTCAGTCAAAGAGATTATCTTTGGGTTTCCCATATTTACTCTTTACAGTCTGTTTCAGAGTGTTTTCACTAAGTGACTCTCTTGCAAAATCTTTCTTTTCTGTTATTTTAATAAAATGTATGTCTGCATCACACTGTGAATAATGAATATATTTGTATTTACTACACTGAGGTACTTCTGAAGGAATTATCTTAAGGATCCTAAACCTTATATCCCTAAAATGGTATTAGAATTTCACTGCTCAAATATGGCCAGTTGAGGTTGGTATTGAATCTCTGCAAGAGTGGAAAAAGTCTCAGAAAGCCACAATTACAAATGCTGTTCTTCAGATTTTGCAAAAGTACTTCCATTAAGGAGGACTCTGTGTAATAATGCCTCTGTTGGTCTTTTCATCATTTGAAACTGTGCCAAGTTACGGGCATAAAGTAACTTAATTATCATTGTGAAACAGCAAAACCTTGACTCTGAAACGTACACCTCATTTTAGTCTCCCAGTACTGGGCTGTGATTTTGTGTAAACCATGCACCATGTGGAAGGAGGAATGTAATATGGAAAGTTAAGAATGTAGTGATTAAATTTACTTCTGGTATTTCACTATTAATCTGCCTAGGATGGAAAAGTTTTCTTTGCAGCTTACACAGTGGGACACATCAGTAGGATACTGGCCATTGTTAAGATGGATTTTCTTTATAGATAAATTAGTCTAGCTCTTTGATCCCTTGGACTTGCTAAAAGTCTACTCAATGAATGTGTCATCTGTGACTAGAGTATGCAGGGTATAACTCGGTGATGAAGTGGAGTGTCAGTGAAATTTAGTGTAGGCCAGTTAAGGTCTTCTGGAAACTGGGAACGATAGGTCCATTTTCAAAAGATGTTTGTGCTTAGTTGTGTTGTTTTTTGTTTTGTTTTGTTTTGTTTTCCCCCTGGATTGACATGAGTTGTTTTTCATTTGGTTCGATGCAAACAGCTACAGAAATTAGTAATTTTGAGAATATAGTAATGGCGTGGGAGTAGTTATCCTAGTTCTTGGGTACATGAGGCAACAAGTATGCTAGAGCCATGCATTGCTGGAAAGAAACAGACCCGGTGAGTGCTTGATTTGGAGGCTGTTCTCTTCTGTGGTGCTGTGCTAGAACACTGCTGAGCCAATGCTTCAAGAGTAGAGCTCCTGCAGCAAAATGATTAGACGATGAATCCAGTTGATGTGCCAGATCCTCTACTTCAATCATTAATAAATCCAGTGAGCGTGGGTTTTGCTGTGTGGATGAGTCTAGCATAAACTTTGATTATCTAGGGTAGAAAAGTGTAGTGGATGATGCTTCTGTGGATTTTGGGGAAGGGGGCATTTGATTTTCATTCTTCATGGCTGTGATTTATTGTTGTGTCAACTTACAGGAATACAGCATAAGGATTTCTATCCCATGGTCTGAACCAAATGTACAAGTAAGGGTTGACAGTATTAGCTACAATCTTTTGAGTTTTAAATGTGAAGAGCTACTAATATGCTTTACTGGGGTGCAGATTTATGAGAGGCATATTAAACTATATAAAGATGACATTTAATATTAAGGCTGAATGTTCATATAACTGTTCTTCACAATACTTTAGAAATTATTATTTTCTTGTTTCAAGAAAAGTAATTGGTTTCTCCCGTTCCTCCTCAGCCCCTGCCTCGGATAACTAATGTTGTTGGAGTAATGGTTATTGCATGATGTAACTTGAATGATTTCCACGCTCATTTCAGTAGGAATTAGTCCAGTTTTGGTAATAGTTAAATACTGTTACTAGTTCATAATAAACTTTTATCTTCAAAGCATTAATTAGACATAGGCAGCATTAACACTGCTGTGTGTAATAATGTTGGTATTTGAACAGTCCACTCGGGTTTGAAGTTCACACTTTAATGTACTACAGACTAAAAGGTGGTGTACTATGTAGAGGAAAAAGATGTTATCTTCATGTCAGGCTTCATGGAAGCATGACTCATCTAGAGAACAATTGTGAAAACAGACTTGTTATAAAAGTCATTGTCCAGAGATAAAAGCATTTATTTGTAATAGCACAGTGCTTGGGATTGCTTGTTATAGGCCGGGACTTGGTTTCATTAATGTTGTGTCTAAGTTTCATTCAGTCGCCTACAGAGTGAAAAACCACAGCTGAATTAGAAGTCCCGTTCAGTGTCCATTTTGTTTCAGGTACAAATTTTTCTCAGTTAGGAAGCAGTGTAATTCATGGATGAGATCTAATTTTATCAGGGCCGTGGCAGTGTTAGTTATGCAAAAAATATTAAAGTTTTCACCTGCAGTAAAGGAGGCTTCACTTATTTAGTGTTAGAAGATCTGTATGCTGAAGGAGGAATGTGAGCAACAAAGTTGTTTGGTTTTTTCCTACTGTAATGCAAGCAGCTAACTTGTACAACTTTTCATGCATAGATCATTATTTTTCAAGCAGATAAAATTCAAAACTTAAAGTTGCTTCTTAAATACACACTTACGTACATCTTCTGTATTCTCTGATGGTGTTGCATATTCTGTACCAGTGGTAGTTCAGGATTGCTGCGTAAGTTGCATGCAGCTAAACTCATCACCCTTAAATTATGAGTAACTTGTTTCTTTTTGGTATGTTCAAATGTTTTGAAACTGTTGGAAACAACCATGTTTTCATTTCTACAAAAATTTTAGGTTTTGAGATGCTTAGAAAATTGTTTTTAAAAATATAGTTCTAAATAAAATTGAAACAAAGCTAAAGCTTTATGAAGAAATTAAATTAGTTTATCTTAATGTATTGTATAATTAAAATGAAAGGGGCAATTTCTCACTGAATGTGAAAAAGGTTTTTGTTCTGTCTACAGTATGTGAAAACACAGGGCTGAACTGTCACTGCTGGTACTGAGTTATCTTTTCCAAAATGTGGAATAATGTTATTTTACTTATTTTTAAAGCATTAGTTGATGTTCTGAGACAAAAGTCACCCCACAAACTTTTCTCTCAGGAAAATGATGAACTGGTTTGCCTTCATAGATGAGAAGGACCTAAGGCATGAATCACACAGTCCTGTGGGAAGAATTATAGTAGCAGTTGAGCCTGGAAGGAGATGGCACTTCATTGATTGCTTTAACTGTGGTTTTGCTTTAATTGTGTGAAAAAGGGATTGAGAATTGGACATTGTCCTAAGATTAAATTTCTGGTATTGACTGTGTTACAGTAGCATATTCTAAAAGTTTTT